CCACTCTGTCCAGCCACAGGCAATCAGAATGTTGCTCCTGACATCTAACTAAATCTCACCCACTGGCAAGAAGTCCCCATCTTCTGGAGAGAGATTAGCTCCCTGCCCTTGAAAGGGCACAAGGCATGTCTAGCCCAGAGGGAGAGGAATGGCCGGCATAGCCTTTGGAGGTTGCCACTGGCCAGAGGGATGAGAGAGTCTCTATAGACTTTTCCACCCGGGATATTCTTCCTCCAAGCTCCGCCAGCCCCTCCTCTCTGCCCCAAAACTCTGGGGATACTTTACTCCTTTCCTGTTCTCTACCTTGGGTTGCCCACCCCCCAGGGCTGCCCACCAACCCTTTTCTGCCAGACCCTGCCCTTGCCCAACCATCCGCTCCTCTCCCAGACACCAGTGACTTTCTTTGATGCCACACCCACGGGCCGGGTCCTAAACCGCTTCTCCTCCGACGTGGCCTGTGTGGATGACAGCCTGCCCTTCATCCTCAACATCCTGCTGGCCAACATGGCGGGCCTGCTGGGCCTCCTGGCTGTGCTGGGCTCTGGCCTGCCCTGGCTGCTGCTGTTGCTTCCGCCTTTGAGCATCATCTACTATCGCGTGCAGCGCCACTACAGGGCCTCCTCACGGGAGCTGCGGCGCCTGGGCAGCCTCACCCTGTCTCCCCTCTATACCCACTTGGCTGACACGTTGGCGGGCCTCCCTGTGCTCCGGGCCACTGGGGCCACCTACAGGTATGTGAAGTCTGCCCCTCCCAACCAGAGCCTGCGGGGGATGAGGTGCTGGCGGGAGGGGAGAAGGGGGCCTCCTGAGAAGGGCATGTGGGGTACAGGGTTCAAGCCTCCTGGGGGAGAAGGGCAGAGTGGGTGAGGGCACTAGGGGAAAGAGGAGAACAACAGAGGAAAGAGACAGTGAGGCAGAGCAGACCGCTTCGAAAGAGCATGTTGGCATCTCTGTATCCCTGAGTGAGACCTGTGAGTGTATAGATCAGCTCCCAAGAAGGAGGTGTTCTTTAGGGAAGGAGTCTGGTTAGGGTGACCTCACCTCCCTCCTGGCCTCTCCCAGGTTTGAGCAAGAGAACCAGCGGCTCCTGGAGCTAAACCAGAGGTGCCAGTTTGCTGCCAGTGCTGCGATACAGTGGCTGGACATTCGGCTACAGCTCATTGGGGCAGCAGTGGTCAGTGCCATTGCGGGCATCGCCCTGGTGCAGCACCAGCAGGGCCTCGCCAACCCAGGTGCCACACCCCAGGACCCTTGACCCCTGCCCCAGACCTCTCCCTGTACTGTTTCCCCAACATTTCCGCCTCCCACCCAGGGTTCCCTATGAGGATGTATCATAATAACCGTCATCACCTTCAGTTTAGGGTGGAGGAGACAGTCTCCAGGAGTGACTTGCCAGGTGGTGGTGGCTCTGGAACCAGAATGAGCCATCTGAGCTTCTGGTCTCAGTCCCTTCCCTGCTTCCACCCCCATCCCCACCACCCTGCCAGGGCCCACCTCAGTCTTCCACCTGCCCTTCCCCCGAGCTTCTCCAGGCCCGCTCTACTGCCTTGCATCAGCCTCCTGCACTCCTGGCCTGGGTCCTGTCACCTTCCTGCTTCTCCACTGCGTCCTTTAAAGGCCCACAGTCCACAGCTTGGGACTTTCTTATCCTGTCCCTACCTCCCACACATGTCCTGGTGTCCAGGCTCCCCTAGCAGCTGGTGCTCCTCTCCCCCAGGAATGGTGGGCCTGTCACTGTCTTACGCCCTTTCCCTGACGGGCCTGCTCTCAAGCCTGGTGAACAGCTTCACGCAGACGGAAGCCATGCTGGTGAGCGTTGAGCGGCTGGAGGAGTACTCCTGCGACCTGCCCCAGGAGCCCTGGGGCCAGCCACTGCAGGTGGGCCTACACCCCGAGCCCGGTCCAGAGCCCTGAAGGGCCCTCCGAAAGGCCCCAGTCTCTCCCCGGTTCCTTTCTTTTTGCTTCTCACTCATCTTTCTCAGCTCCTTTAGCCTCCCTGCACGGTCACCACCGTTCTTCACCGTGCCCCTCCTCCCCATCTCTCCTCATTCCCCCCACCTTTCCTCCCACGCTGCCTGTTTCTCATTCTCCCTCCTCACCACACTCCTCATCTCACTCATCTCCCTCTGTCTTCCATCCCTGGACCCCACCAGCTGGGCGCTGGCTGGCTGACCCAGGGGAGCGTGGAGTTCCAGGACGTGGTGTTGGTATACCGGCCAGGCCTGCCCAATGCCCTGGACGGGGTGACCTTCCGTGTGCAGCCTGGAGAGAAGTTGGGCATCGTGGGCCGCACGGGCTCCGGCAAGTCTTCCCTGTTGTTGGTGCTCTTCCGGCTGCTGGAGCCCAGTTCGGGGCGAGTGCTGCTGGATGGTGTGGACACCAGCCAGCTGGAGCTGGCTGAGCTCAGGTCTGGGGGAGGAAGTTGGGGGTGAGGGAAGAGGGGAACCAGAACTACCGGCACTTGGAGGAGGGCACAGCTAGAAGGCTTTATATAGACTCAGGGCAGCCAGGGCTGACCAGCAGCTGAGATGGGAGACAGGACAAGCAGGTGAGGACAGAAAACTCCTAATGCTCAGGTCCAGAGTCTCAGCTGGTGATCTCAAGGTCTTCCTCACCCTGACCCAGACCACTTCCCAGCTTCCACCAGACCAGCTTCCTCTTTCTCTTACTTCCTGGTGTACACCCTCCACTCTAGAGCACTGGCTGCTGCCTTCCTAATCAGAGTCTCCCAGGTACCGCGCCTCTAGACACTGATGCCCTCAGCCCTCAGGCTCAGCAGGCAGTGCTTGGGATAGCTTGAGACCGGGCCACTTGCCCCTGGCCACAAGTGGCCTCATCTGGGGCTATACATCCCCCACTCCTACCCCTAGTATCATTTTCTCTGAGTTCTATGACATGGAAAAGTAGGAAAGCTGTGTCCTAAAGCCCTGGGCACATGACTGGCCCCAAGACCTGACCCTGCCTCACCTGCCTTCTCTTCTAAGCTGTGGTGGCCTTACCTTACAGCTTGACCATATAGCTCCTCAGGACCCAATTCCAGGGCCACTCAAACCTTGAAGTGTCCCATACCCATTCAGCCGTCCAGTCATTCCCTGCTCAGGCCCTGCTGTGCCTGGAATCAGTGCCACACACTTTAGCCCGTTTGTTTTCTCTGGTGTTTTGTACCTCGGTGAGATGTAGGCTGCTTAGGGACAGAGTGTAGGCCCCTGGTTTCTTTGGTATTGCTCATAGCACCAGCCCAGTTCTAGGTACACAGATGACTGCCTGGTCCTGTGGTGGGGATGGGGCGGGAAACAGAAGGGGTTATGTTCAGGTCTTATTCCCAGGCTGTCCTGGAGGTGCTAGTCCTATAACTAAAAACTGTACTAGGAGCAGAAGTGGCCGCATCTCCAGCCTGGACCCCATGTCATTGTCCCCCAGATCCCAGCTGGCTATCATCCCCCAGGAGCCCTTTCTGTTCAGTGGGACTGTTCGGGAAAACTTGGACCCCCGGGGCCTACGTGAGGACAGGGCCTTGTGGCAGGCCCTGGAGCAGTGCCACCTGAGTGAGGTGATTGTATCCATGGGTGAGTGCTGGGCCCTGTCCCTAGAGCAGGGAGGGAGCAGGGAGAGGCCTGGGCCCTGCAGTGAAGATGCTGTCCTTGCAGGTGGTCTGGATGCTGAGCTAGGTGAGGGGGGCCGGAGTCTGTCCCTGGGGCAGAGGCAGCTGCTGTGTCTGGCCAGGGCTCTCCTCACAGATGCCAAGGTAAGAAGAGAGGAAGGGACATTCAAGAGGGCTAGGAAGGAGGCAGGGGACCTGTCAGGGTTAGAAGGTGGGTTGGGGAGAGGTTTCAGGGGACCAAGTTGGTTTTCCTTTCAGAGCTTGAGGTGGGGAGCTGTAGGGGGGCCTGGTGTTTGGGCCCAGCCCAGCCCCAGCCCACCCTACAGCCTCTCCTTCGCACTCTTCCCCTCCACCCTTCCCACCTTCCAGATCCTGTGTATTGATGAGGCCACAGCAAGTGTGGACCAGAAGACAGACCAGCTGCTCCAGCAGACCATCTGCAAACGCTTTGCCAACAAGACAGTGCTGACCATTGCCCACAGGTGTGCAGGCGTCCAGTGTGACCGTCTCATCAGGGACTGTGATGGCATAGACCCAGAGCCTCAGTTCCTTTCAGGGACCCTGGGAGTCAGGGCCCTAGAGATCACCCCTCAGTAAACCTCAGCCCCTCCTTGTCCAGGCACTACCCTGGCCCTTTTATAGCACATTTTCTGAGGGAATGCTGCAGTCCTTCCCCCAGCCCAGAGCCAGGGGCTAGAGCCTGTGGGACAGACCTGTGCTGTCCTGAGGGGAGAGGAGGAAAAGCAGGTCAGCATTCTCCCTTAGGGCATTGTCCCCCATCCCCCCACACTGACCATCTCCTGCCACACAGGCTCAACACGATCCTGAACTCGGACCGCGTGCTGGTGCTACACATGGGGAGGGTTGTGGAGCTGGACTCCCCTGCCGCGCTTCGCAACCGGCCCCACTCACTGTTCCAGCAGCTGCTGCAGAGCAGCCAGCCGGGAGCCTCCTCGCCCTGAGGGCCTGAACCAGATCCCCACCCTCTAGGGTCCCCTCCACTGCTAGCTAGCTGGGCAGAGGTGCTGGCTGCTCATTTCCATTCTCCTCTGAGGCTCTCCCTCACTTCCCCAGAGGGGAAACGGGCACCCTGGGTTACTCTTTGGAAACATCCTTGGCGGGCAGAGTCCGGAGGCTTCCCCAGAACAGGCCTTTGCTCCAGCCCTCTTGCAGCTGGGACTCCAGGTGGGTTTTTCTGACATAGGAGCCCACTTGCATTTTCATAGTTTTATTTGATAAAATCCCCATCTTACATTCTGTATATTAAAAAAATAATATTTCTGGCATGAGGCAGAGGTCCCCTCAATGTGTGTACCCAAGCTGAGGGGTGGTAAGAAAGGACCACTCCAGTTTGAGGGGTGGGGAGGTGAAGAAGGGGGCGGGAAAGCCCCCACCTCCATCACAGTGCTGTGGTCTTTCCAGGCTCAGGTGGCAGGTCAGGTGGCAGGGGGAGCCCTGCTGGCAGCATGCTAACCTGACACTCCTGGTCCTGGCACGCCGGGGCATAGCGTGGGGCAGGGTAGCAACAGAGTCCAGGGGGGCAGACACCCCGGCGCCAGGCCCTCAGAGTCAGCAACATGGTGGCCAGGACCAGGGCAGCAGTGAGGGCCCCAAACACCACCAGGGCCACCAGGCTAGGCTCACCTAGCCCGGCTTCTTGCCTCCGCACCACCTCCTTCACTGAGATCCGCAGCAGACCGGCCCCTGCACTGTGGGGGGCTGGCTTTGTGGCAGGTACCACCACCGCTGAGGTGGGCCCTAGGGGAATGTTCACTG